AGCTTCAAAGGGAAAGTTGGAAGCATGGAAGGGCTTCGCAGGGAAAGGTCTATCTCAGGAGACTCTGAAGTACCTAAAAGCAGCACTTACAGCCCCTCTGCTTTGGTAAGGGCTTGAGAAGCTAATTGTTGATATTATGCCTTCTACAGCTCACATTCTAGCCTGCCTGTGCTCTAAAGGGAGCTCTGTCACCTGCAGTGTTTCTCCTTCCCAGCCCCTTCAGGCAGTGACGTTCAGCCGTGTGTCCTGTGACAGGGCAGCCAGCTGAGCAGCACAACTGCTCCTGCAAGGGCCACATGAGAGATGACAATCATCTCTCTACTCCCATGCTCTCATTACTACATTGCACCCCAGCTAACAGCAGAAACAAGTGTGGTTAGTTAGGGTGTGTTTGGGATCAGAGTCCTGAACCAAATCAGCCTTTCCCTGCACTGAGTGTATGCTGCTCTTGTAAAGCAGATAGTACTTAGGAATCCTTTGCAGCATAGACATTACTGGTATGCAAACGAGAAAAGTCATCATGAGAAAGGTGTTTCTGAAATATTGTTCTTACACTGGACATGCACAAGCTTTAGTAGATTGTTAAATACTGATCTAATTGTGCTAATGTGAAAGACTTGAAACTAAAGCCTGGGCTGCAACTAATATTAAGGATGAAAATAAACTAGAACTAGAGAGAAAGCACATTTAAAACACACCAGGCAAGCCACCGTGTAGTACTTGAACTCTGCCTGCTTTTTATTCCCATTGGAGCCACTGCTGTTCTTAAAGGTTTAACACTATCACTCAGTGATGCACAGCTGCTTTTAAAAAAAAGAGCTGGACAGAAGGCAAGGAAGATCTAAGCATAACCACTGTCCATGAAGAATGACACCTGTGCAGTTATTAACCTGGAAAACCGCTGTCAAAGCAATTCATTTCATGTGAGCTGATGTATTATCACCTGTGCAAGATCACCAGTATCAAGTGGAAGAGACTTTGACTTTCTGCAATGTGTAACCATTCTGAGTGATCTCAAATGCTTGATTTGACCAAACATGTAATCCTTAGCCTGTTTTTCCATCATATATTCAGGATTAATCTATACATACAATTGTTTTCAGTGTCATAAAGAGGTAACAAGAACACTTGGACTGAAAATTTTAAGTCATGCTTTCAATCTCCTTGCCCCTATGTATTTAAATTTCTGTACATAAGCCTGCAAACATTTCTGCACATTAATGTAGGCATTAATCCTTATGGGAAAATTTGCTTCCTACTTTCAATAGAATTCAGCTGCTTTGTCTGCAAGCCTGACAGTAGCACTTTCAATCAGCAATGGAATGCAAACAATAGCTGCAGAAGCAATGGCATGCAAAGCATGCCAGTATTAGCTATTTCTTCATTCCTTCTTTATTCATCATATTAATGCTTCAGTTCAGCTTGGTCTTTGTATTAAGCATTTTTATATTAACCACTTGTAGAACTTGAAGTGAACTTCACGGCTTTCCTTTATTCCAAACTAAAATTGAGACAACAGATGAAGCAAATCTTTACAAATTGTATTTTTTACTGTAATTACTTTAGAAGCAAGCCTAGGACATGGTAAAGTTGTCAACACCTTCTAAAACAAGCTCCATAAGCAGGGGAGGTTTGTTTAAAGACTTTTTCAGCTTTGTCATTGAGCTACTTGTGCACCATTGCTAATTGCAAATTGACACCATATACCACTTTAGATAGTAAATCTAAAAATCAAATTTCTTTCTAGGATTAAAATACTAGAAGTAATTAATAGTTTTATTTTAAAAATTTTGCAGTCAAGATTTGATCCAAATAATATTCCACAAGTTCATTAGCTAGCAGCTGTGACAAAGTGAAAGGGTGGCCTAATTCATATCTTTGTTTGAAGTGATCAGCATCTGAGGCACATAAGTATTATGAAAGGCAGAAGGTTCTCCCACCATTGCAAAACAAAGCTCAAGGCCAGGCTGGATGGGGCTTGGAGCAGCCTGGTCTATTGGAAGGTGTCCATGTTCCTGTGAGGGAGGTTGGACATAGATGATATTCAAGGTCCCTTTCAAGCCAAACTTTTCCATGGATCTATCAAAGTTCACAAAAATGGAAATGCTCCTTATTTTGGAAGGATATTTATGTGGCACATACCAGAACCTGCCATTCTACAGTTAAGAATTGACATAAATTCAGTGACATGACATCAGGTAATTAATCCTCAGATAACTATCATTTGTAAAGTGCTTCAACCTAACCCGTTGTTTAACAAATTCCAGGACATACTATCCAAAACACCAACGTGGTCTCAAATGCCTGAAAAGCCACTGAACATGCAGGGCAGAGATGGAATTTTTATACTTAATTATCCTTCTGAATTCCTCCAGCAGCCAATATGCAGAGCACTCGCTGATGGCAAAGCAAATTGGTACGTGCTGTGAATATTTCCATACAAACTAACACATAGCTGACTGATGTATTTATTTATTTATTTTAGTGCAAATATCTCACTTCAGAACAAATAAACACTCTCCTGAGAAGCAACTCTCTCATAATCACCTTCTCCTGACTGCAGGGGAGGAGCAGCAAGGCCAGGGAAGGAGCAGCAGGTCCACCCCTGCCCATCATGGCACCGAGACATGTTTTAAGTCAAAAAAACAAGCTCCAAAAAAAACCCCAAAAACCCAAACCTGCCTCGGTCCCTCTTTATTCCTGTCTCACCCCGGGTTTCCCATCAACCCCATACCATCCTGCAAACACACAGAGATGGCCCCAAGAGCCTCACCTCGCCCCCCACTTCAGTGGGGCGGAGCACCTGAGCTCCACCCAGTACCCCCAAGTTCCTGCCTTCTCTTCATCCTTAAATTGACAGAAATAACCCTCAAATATCTTAATCTGAAACTCACAGAGCTGCCACAGACACCTCTAGACAAGGAGATAGCCCCGGTCCCACAGCACCTCAAGCGTGAATTTCACAAAGGGGTCGCTAAACTCCCCAAACACCACAGCACCCCAAGCTCACTGAGGGGCCCTCAGCCATCCCCCATCAAATTCAAACCATCCCAAGACCAGAGGGGTCACCAAGCCTTCCCCCAAACTCACAGAGTAACCTCGGCGGCACTCCAGAGTCACAGAAAGGCCCCTGAACCCTCCCCCAGCCCCAAGCTCCCAAAGAGGCCCCACAGCTCACCCCTATAGCACCCCAAGCTCCCAGAGCGGTCCCCGAGCCCTCCAATCTCACAAAGAGGTGCCGACATAGCCCCTCCCAGCCCCACATTGCCTCAAGCGCTTACAGAGCCCGAACTTCCCCGAGCCTGTCCCTCCCCCTCCCTCGCAGAGGACTCACCGAGATTGCAGCACCCAGTCTCACAAAGGGAAGCCCAAACACTTCGCCCCAGCCTCACACCACCTTACAGCGGAATCCCCCAAGCCCCCCATACCTGCCGGCAGATCCCAGGTCGAGCCCTGAGGGCGCTCAGCCGCGACAGCACCGTACACCCACCACCGACCGCAGCCACTCCGCCGCCGCCTCACGATTTCAAACCCAACGGAAGCCCCGGCCCGCCAATGAGGGAGCGGCATTCGGGGCGCGCCCGCCAATCAGAAGAGCGTCCTCCGGAGGGGCGGAGCCAGCGCCACGCGTGACCGTTGCGTCCCCCCGAGCCCGCCCCCGCGCGGGGCTGAGCGGGCGGTGCGGGTGCGGCTCCGCCCGGGACAAACCCCGCTGGCTGCACCGTGTCCCCGTGTCCCCATGGACAGACCCGCACCGGAGGCTGCCCCGTCCCCGGCAGCGTTCAGGGCCGGGCTGGATGGGGCGCTGAGCAACCTGGGCTAGTGGAAGGTGTCCCTGCCCATGACGGGAGGTTGGAATGAGATGAGTTTAAGGTTCCTTCCAACACAAACGTTTCTATGATTCTACAGTCTCAGCTGTTCTGCTTCATTCTTTTGCATGAAATCACAAAAAGAAAACTTGCTGCTTCAACAAGCCGTTTTTTATTACTGGACTTCACAGTCTATTTAGCACATTAAAACAGTCCTTACTGTTGAGTCATCAAACAGCAACAACGAAGCGATTGTTAAAACAATAAAGTGAACAATGATGTCTTTTAGAATGAAGTAAGATGCACAGAATCCAAGCATGCTTTTACTGATTTAACCATCCTCAAGAGTCACTAAACCACCATGAATTCTCGATCTCCATCACAACAGCAACGCATCAGCCATCTGCCAGCATTAGAATGTCACACACTCCATGGGTAGCATTTACTATTGACTTGGTTTTCCATCATTAGTAGCATATAACATCACATGCTGTTTTCTGTGCTGTGCTTTTCCAGTTATACAATCTCCTCTTTCTCTAAAAGAGAGAAATATGGAAGTTTGCAGTTATAACAGGGTGTGTGCAGGGGGTTTCCTACATTCTGTAAGAAACAGCAAATCTTGTGGCTATTTGCTATTGTTTATACTTCAATAGTAACAAGATATTCCTGTCAGGCCTCTCCCTTTACTGTGTTTGGGGGTGTACGAAGATACCTTGAAACACACCTCCCTTTAAGGCATTTTAAGATGCTACATCCCTGTCTTATTAGAAAATATTAGAAAACATTACATAAAATACACAAGGAAAAGCAAAGAGAAGCTTTTCCCGACGCTTAAATAAAACAGGCCATTTCCCTGCCTCAGAAAGACGCTGCCCTCATCCAGCAGAGCTCTTTCACGTGCATAAAGAACTGGAATCGGTTCCTTCTGCCAGGCCTGTGGAGCATGACCTCGAGCATGGACAATGCCTGGGGCCACGGGCAGGGGCTGCGCGTCCCGGCTGGCCTGGGCTGGGCTGGGCGGCCGCGGGGTGCGGGCTCGGTCCGGCCCCGGCTGGAACGCGGACGTGGCTTGGGGCTGGCGGCCGGGCAGGCGCGGAGGGGCGGGAGGAGATGGATGGAGGGGCGGGGACCATCCGTGCGAGGAGAGGCGGGTCCCGCCACGGCGGCCCTGCCAGCCCGGCAGCGCCCGCGCCGCGCATCCGGGGGTGCGGCGGGAACTACCGCTGGAGCGGGGGGAACTGCCGCTGGAGCATCCGGGCCTGCGGGGGAACTACAACTGGAGCATCCGGGGCTGCGGGGGAACTACCGCTGGAGCGGCGGGAAGCACCGCTCCCCGCTGGAGCATCCGGGGCTGCGGCGGGAACTACCGCTCCCGGGGACCCCGGCGCCCCGCGGGGCGCAGCATGGAGAGCCCCGCGGTGACCTTCACGCTGGCCTACCTGGTGTTCGCCGTGTGCTTCGTGTTCCCGCCCGACGAGGTGCGCTCGGCGGGGCTGACGGTGCAGAGCCTGCTGTCCGCCTGGCTGGGCAGCGAGGACGCGGCCTTCGTGCAGTACCACCTGCGGCGCAGCACCGGCACGCTGCTGGCGCACTCCCTGCTGCCCCTCGGTGAGTAGCGCCCCGGCTTCCCGGAGTGAGCCCCCGAGCTTTGTAACCAGCGGGCTGCACCGCTGCACATGCACTCACAAAGGAATTGCAGTTTGAGTACAGCCTGGGGAATGAGGGGCTGGAGAGCAGTGCCAGGGAAAGGCACCTGGGGCTCCTGGGCAGTGGGAAGTTGAAGGTGAGCCAGCAGTGCCCTGGCAGCCAGGAGGGACATCCCTGTGCCGGGGACATCGGGCCCAGCATGGCCAGCCGGGCAAGGGAGGGATTGTCCCGCTCTGCTCGGGGCTGGGGTGGCCTCACCTCGAGTGCTGGGACAGCTTTGGGTGCCACAAGATAACAAAAACATGAAACCCTCAGAGAGTGCCCAAAGGAGGGCACGAGGATGGTGAAGGGCCGTGAGGGGAAGCCGTGTGAGGAGAGGCTGAGGGCACTTGGTCTGTTCAGCCTGGAGGGGACAGAGAGGAGACCTCAGTGCAGTTACAAATTCCTCGTGAGTGGAACAGGAGGGACAGACCCTGATCTCTGCTCTGTGGTGACAGTGACAGGAGCCAGGGAATGGCCTGAAGCTGTGTCAGGGGAGGTTTGTGTGGGATATCAGGAAAAGGTTCTGCCCCGAGAGGGTGGCTGGGCACTGACTCCAGCCTGATGGAGTTCAAGGGGTGTTTGGACAATGCTCTCATGCACACGATGTGACTCCTGGGGTGTCCTGTGCAGGGCTAAGTGTTGGACTTGATGATCCTTGTGAGTCCCTTCCAGTGCATCATCTTCTGTGATTTAACCAAGGAATGCAAATCAGCTTCCTTTAGCCATGTAATTCTCCTAAAACTAAGTGGCATCGCACAGGTAATTTTTTTTAACAACCAAATTCAGATGGCTTTCCTTTAGGTATATAATTCTGGTAAAAGTCATCAATGCCTAAGAATTTACCTCAACTTGCTTGAGACAAGAGGCTTGACTTTGAAGTCATCCAGAAATACAATACCTCTCTTGGAGGTGAGCTCACTGGTTAGATAACCATATGATTCAAGGGTATCTCTTTTGCAGATATTTAATTGTTTTCTGAAAGTAAGTTCTTTTTTCCCTTGCAGGTTATTACCTTGGTATGTGCTTTGCTGCACCTGAAAAACATCTTTGTTTTTTCTACCTGGCTTCAAAAGAGTGGAAAACTTTCTTCTTCTTCGCCATTCTCCTCCCAGCAATCACCAGTGCCCTGGCATATTACTGGTCCCGGAAAGGTTGGAATAATCATCCACTAGCCCGGACACTCGCTGTTCACGCCCTCCCACAGTCAGGCTGGAGGGCAGTAGCTTCTTCCATCAACACAGAATTCAGGAGAATCGACAAATTTGCTACCGGGGCGCCAGGAGCCAGGGTGATCGTCACGGACACGTGGGTGATTAAAGTGACCACCTACTGTTTACATGTTGCCCAGCAGCAGGACATTCACTTGACGGTGACAGACTCCAGACAGCACGAGCTCACCCCAGACTCCAACGTGCCCGTGCAGTTCCTCACCATCCGCGTTGCCAGCGTTAATCCCTACGTCAAGGCATTCGATATCCGGTAAAACAACTGCTAAACCTGTTATGTTACGTGGGTGCTGTTTTGATGGTGCTGAGGGAGCACTTCTGTGACCAGTCTGGAGACTCATCCCTTCCTTTCTGTTCCCTGCCTGGTGTTCAGGGCTGCTGTATGTGCATTTCTGCCACGCAGTGCAGGGAAGGTTGTTTAGTGCAACACTGAATACACAACGGATAAACAAAGGGATTGGCCTCTTTGATCCATTCTTAGGGAGAGGATTGTGCTGGATGCAGAAAGAAGTAACTGGATAAAATTAGGTGAGAGATGGAGAACAGGAATGAAAGGTAGAATTTTTAGTCTTTTAAATTTTGGGTGAGGAGAAATAGCTATTTGTCTAAAATTGTTGTTCATCCACGACTTTGGATTTTTCCCTGTGCTTAAGGCTCACAATTTCATCACTGCTCAGAAGAGCTCTCACTGAGCTACTGCAAGCCAACTGCCCCTAAAACAAGGAAGAAATGTTGGTCCCTTTCTGACTTAGGTGTTCTCATAACAATAAATCATAACAATTGTGAACTGTGAGGGCTTGTTTTACAAGGGCCCATGCTGTTTATCTCATCGGTCTCTGTGTAACCAGGCTTAAGTACAAGTTTGGCAGAAACCTCTGAGTAGAAGGATGCTCAAGTCTTTGGTGTTGTGTTATTAAAAGCCATCTCAGTGCTCCTAAAATTACATTTGAAAAGGTGTCTTTTTGCTGTAAATTTGTATGTCAGGAGCATTTATTAGGTACTTAAAAGCATGCAGATCACCAGACTTGTAGGTGTGCAATGGGACAGGCACGAGGAAGGCAAAGAGGTGATTATGGTAGAGATCCAGGTGAACAGAACTCAGAACAAGAGGGTGGTTAAGGTCAGCATGACAATGCTAAGAAAAGAGACTTTTATAGACCTGTGACAGTGATGACCAAATTAGTATTAAACAATTAATGATTTTCTTCTGCAAGCACTTCAGTGCCAGAATACACCACAGCTGAGAAAAACATGACTTGTTTGACAATTCCTTTTATAGAAAAAAAGTCCTAAGCCCAAACTGTATTTTGTGACTAAACAGAATAGCATCAAGAACAGTGTTTAAAAGCTGTTCTAATAAGATGTCAGTGATAGTAAATCTCTGCTAGAATGTAGCAGAATCATACAGGGTCATTGTATATATCCAGAATCAGAATCAAATATAGTGAGGTGTTTCTGGAAGAAAAATGCTTTTGTGCAGGTGGGCCACATTTCTCTGCTTGTTCAGTGTGAATTGTTCCTCTGGTTATAAATGTCTCTGATTTGTATGGACAGCATCTGTTAAGTGACATTATCCCGTAGCAGTAAAAACTAAGCCAGCCTTGCATTGTGCTGGGCTCTGGGAATTCAGAGAGTGGTAGGAAAATGAGGGCAGTGTTCCAGGGACTTCTCCCTGAAAGCTGTTTAATGAGTGGAAACATTGAGCTGGAGAGTTTTGACACTACAGTTCAGAACTCTTAAAAAGGGATGACAACAGGAATATATCACTCTAGGATTTGTGAGAGGTCTCAGGTGCCACTTGAGTGCTGTGGACATCACTTAAATTTAATTTACAGAAGCAGCTGGTGTGAAACACAGCTTGCTGCAGCCTTAAATCAGCAGTGGTTTGTGACCTTTGTGAAATTTCTGTGATTTAGATTGTATCATAAAATCACAGAACCTGATAGATTGACATTCCTCTTCTACTTGTGTAGAACTGTATCACCTTGAGATGCCTGCTGCATGATACAACTAATTTCTCCTAATTAAATTCCTCAGGAGTTTATAATTGAGAATTTAGATATTGTCTAAGTAAACAGGCATTAAAAAGGTGACAGAGATGGTGCAAACAGCATTGTGCAGTTAATGCATGATTTACATACCTACATGGCTTTTTGTTCATGCTGATTACTTCAAAATCCTTTGGTTTTGTATGATGTTTTAGCTGATCTCTGACATACCCTGCTGGCAATCTTACACAGATATGAACGAGGACAGCATGTTCTGTTGACCAAGTTGTGCCAAAACCAATAACTAAATAGCAGAAGAAAACAAGAAAACACAATTCTGTGTATTTATTCTGACTAATAAGTACCAGCTTTCCTGTGGATTCACTTCAGATGTTAACCTCTGCAAGCTACTATCAAGGTATTTGGGTGGATAATCATGGTAACATTTTGCTCCATCTTCTCTTCTTCAGGTTGAACTCCACAGAGTATGGGGAGCTCCGGGAGAAGCTCCGTGCTCCTATCAGCAATGCAGCTAATGTTGTGATCCATCAAAGCCTTAGTGATTTGTTTTTAGAAACCTTCACATCTCTGGTGGAAATAAACCAGACATACCACGTTCCAAGCACTCAGGTGAAACTTTCTATCCATGTGAGACTGTAACAATTATACTTTCAATATAGATGAACCTGTGATTACTGTGTAAATGATAAATGTTTACCTAGGGCTATCTCCAGTGAATTATTAAGAGAATTCATGGTTGTGAGGTTAACAAAAAGGTTTTATTAAAAATATGGATTCAATAACAAATTATGATTAAATTATATTTATCATGTGATTACTGCTTAATAATCCTCATTTAATAATTAAGCAGTATTCAGTCAGTAATTAAATGGTAATTGAACAGCAGTTAAACACCCTGCTACTCTCTACATTTCTAATAATTCATCTAGCTTGCATAAAATATGTTTGAGATCTAATATAAACTATTACTCTCCTTTCTGTAGATAACAGATACCAAGTAAGGGATCTCTTGATCCCTTGAGAGGTCTCCTATCTACCTGAGGCTGCCCTACAGGAGAGCTCTATGGGCCTGGGAGCTGCAGTCACTTACTTAGAGTGTGACTGGTGGTTAAAATGCCCCTTGCTGTGGGTACAGCTGTAGGACTTAGAGTTTCATCTTGTGATACTGATAAGCCCCTGAGAAGACATGACCTAGATTCCTTAACTTCCTGAGAAGATACAGCCAAGCACAATTTCTTAGGGTGTGCACAGCCAAGGCTGGCTCCAGTCAGGCATCCTAGTCAGTGATGCCAGGAACCCAAGTGCTCTTTGCTCAGTCAGGGTGATGCTTCCTTCACAAATGCTCACCTGCTGCATCAGTAAACTCATCACAAACCTTAACTTCTGTTCCTGCTACGAGGAACAAACTGTATTGTGAGCATTATGGTTTTGAGACATGAGAAATGGCATTGTGAAATAAAGTCCCCTGTAATAATTGCTACTAAAATGTTACATGAACACATTTGGAAATGATGACCTTGCACTTGCAGAAGTGCAGGGTCATCATTTATGGGGAGCCAGAGCCACAGCTGCTGTTGCTGTTCTTTAGGCAGTTTGCTCCAATACAGCTTGCTTTTCCAGACAGCCAGGTTTTGGTGGATCTACTGCTGAAATAAACTAATAATTCTTAATTGGGGTTTGCTGTGATTATAATTATTATGGCTATTATTATATGGTGTTAATTATAACAGCACAGAGTCCTACTTCCAGTAATAGTCACAGAGACCTGGTCATTATTATACTTGTGCAGCAGCTGAAGTGTGACTGCAGCACTGTCCAGTGTACCAGAGGGAACCAATTAAACCAGTACTGGTGACCCTGCAGGGAGTCTGTGCCCACTGGTTCAGCTCATGGAGTGAGGGGTTGGTACCTTTGGCAGTGCTTATATGGTTTGTGAACTAGCTAAAATAAAACTGGATCAGGTGTGTCTGCACATTATGTTGTGTGTGTTTGCACTGCCAGCAAAAAGAGATGGTCACAGTAAAGAGAATATACTAAAGCTGCTTTCTTGCAGAGCATTTAATTTGTGACACATTGAAGTGGCAGCTGAGCTACTGAACTTGGGTTTGACATTGGGTGATAAATTACATCACAGATGATGATAAGGATGTTAAAAATACAATATTGAATTTTTCCCTATTCTGAAGCTCCATTAATATTTTTAAAAGTTAGTTAATCTTTTTATGATAGATTTTTTCCTGCTTAAAAGCTAAGACCTAATTTCACAAGTTAAATCTGAGTAGCTTTTGTTCATCTGGATCTGCTCCACAGCCCAGCTCACAGGGCAGCTGAGCAGGCACTTGAGCTGACAAGGGAAGAGTCACTAGAGATGGGAAGTAGAGACCACATAAAGAGCTGATTTTTGTTCCACCAGCAGCATTTTGAACAGATTCAGGTCTCTGTGCCTATTCAGTGTGCTGTCTTTTGAGCTTTGTCAAGTTCTTGGACAGCTGGAAGATGTGGGAAATGCTAATAATTGTTTTTTAATTGTAAAACACTTCATAGCAAGATGTTGTCCCCATATGCAACTGCAAGTTCATGTGGCATTATTAACTGTGGGCAAAATCAATTATTCCAATTTTATCAAAAATATTAAGTACATATCTGGACCTTCAGGTTGAGCATCCTTGTGTTCAGTACAGCCCTAGTTTCCTCATTTATGCCTCTTACTTAGATGGAAGATAGGAACAGCCATTTGCTGTATCAGTGTTTTAGGTTTGTTTTCCTTACTTTATACTGGTCCATTTTTTGAAAAACAGCTTGAATGACAAATCTGGCTGCTTGCTTACCTTGCTGTGGCTGCTGGAAGCTCTTCAGAGAGTGAAAGAACATTTATTTTTCAGTCATTTATGCTTAATCAGTAGTGTCGTGCAGCAGTTCTGAGTTTTCTGTTCAGAGACAAGCTTTGCTGTCATTTGTTAGAGTGCATTCTAGTAAAACCATTTGATACCCTGTGGTGGGGCAGTCCTGCCACAGATGATTTTCTAAAAGCCTTTGAAAAAGCAGTAACAGGAACCATTCTGTGCAGTTCACAACTTTGATGGTTTTTCTCCTCCCTCAGGAGCTGGAGCCATGCATAGGCTGTATGCAGACTATTGCCAACATCAAGCTCATCAAGAACTGCCAGGAGCCCAACGAGGGGGAGTGCCAGCAGTGCTACTGCCGGCCCATGTGGTGCCTCACCTGCATGGGCAAGTGGTTTGCCAGCAGGCAGGACCAGCAGCACCCAGAGACCTGGCTGTCGAGCCAAGTGCCTTGCCCGACTTGCCGAGCCAAGTTTTGCATTCTAGATGTTTGCCTAATACGATGAGTAGTAACTTGGGTATGTTTTAACTTTTTTAATTTGACTGTGTTTCATAGTGGGTTTGGTTTAAGGCCTGCTAGATCTGTTTCTGAGACTTCATGTTCAACCAGGGTACAAACTCTAAAGGTTTCTTTTACAGTGTTGAAAACAGATGTAAATCTTTTCAGTTCCTTTCCACTTTTACCTTATCTGTGGATTTTACTCACACAATGTCAGCTTCTGGATTTTAATTTTGTTTAAACCCCTGTTTTCCTTTCTTACCTTTTGGATGGAATAAGGTTATCCTATATTTGCAGTACCGTTGTTTTTTCAGGTTTTAACGTAGGTTAAATTCTTTCTATTTTTAAATTTAACTTGGGTTTTGATTTTTTAATAAAGGGCTAACTGAGAAAATTGCTTTGGTTAGACTTCATTGATACTTTTGTTATTCTTTAATCCAGTTGTAAAGTTATTATTAATCTTTGCAGTTGTTTTTCAAACAAGTGCACCAGTTGTGTTCCTTCAGCTGGAAGGAGCTACTTCCACTACATCTACCACAAAGGGTTGCTGTAGGCTGAGAAATGTAATCCCTGAAGATTTACAAGTCCTGTATGGACCTTTTATTCCATTAATTTGCCTCTAGCATACCTTTTGATGGATGACTTTATTGAAAACAGAAAGGATTTGTCAACCCATTTACCTCCACTGCTAATACATGGTTAAAATCTGTTGGTTTCCAGGAGCTACATTGCTTAGGGTTTCAATGTTCTTTAGGTGATTGGATTTTTTTTACATACATTTGAAGAGCGTGCAGCAAACATCTGAGCTTTAATTTGTAAGTTAATATCACAGGTGGGTCAAATAGAGAAAGAAATACTTTAAAGCTTTGGTCTACAAGAATAAAAGCTCTTAATACCTTCCACCTGAATAATCACAAGGATCTCACCAGTAAATCATGGGCAGAGGTGGCATGCCAGTGCTTACATGACAGCCTCTTGATTACCATGACAGGCAACTGGTTTGAGCAGGATCAGATGGCAGGATGTAAAAATGGTACAAGTATTGGAAGTACAGCTGTGAAACATTTCATGAGTCTCAGCTGAGCTACAGGTGGTGAATGCACCTACCTGCACTTGCAACCAGCCAGGAAATGGTTACAAATGTGGCTGCAAGCAAGAATTCATAGAGGGGTAAGGAACTGAAGACAGATCTGACAGCATTGCTTGAAAACTAACATTTAATTGGTGGTGTTGGATTTTAACTTTGGAATTTTTAAATAATATTCATTTGTAAAAATCCAAACTGGTTGAGCTAAAGAACATTTATTGCTTCAGCATATCTCAGTTGCTTTATATACAACATCTACTATGCAATTAAGTAAATTACCTGTTAATAACAGTGGCTTCTCTGTTTTCCATCACCTGCTGTTTTGGATTTTATGGATGTACAGAGTGAAAATTTGACACTGAGACAGGTTGTGTGGATTTATCTCTCTTTCCCAAAGAGATCTTCAGTGACACGTTACTCTTCATCTGAATAGAATTAAATGGAGTTCTGGAGTTTCAGGCAGATTTGTTGCTAAGTCTGAAAACTAATAAAAAAACCTAGAAGTCAATTAGCAATTGAATTTAAAATATTTCCTTAGTACTTCTGTGGGAAAGTTATTTCCAGATTTAAAATGGTCTCTGCAGGATTTTTTAACCTTTGGAAGGTTCTTGCAGGGCAGGGTGGTGTGTCTGACATGCACCTATCACTACACAGCAGCCTTCACAAATAAGCATTTTCTAACATTTGCTTCTGAAAAGTTTACATAATGTGTCACCAATACAAGGGATGTGGTCCTTGAAATAGTTGCAGAAGAGATGGTATGATTTTGGAGCTGTGGTTTTGCCACCCCCATTCAGTTCCTACAGCACTTTGCCTGTTCAGAATAAAAATATTCATTGCAAAGAATGTGAGGCTAAAATCATAAAGGCCTTGAGAATCTCAGATGCTGGTAGGTGCAGATGGTTTTATAGACTAATGCCAGGTCAGTTGCCAATAGTATCTCATGTAATAAAAGCTTTAAATTCCTAATTTCTACTGCAGTGGAATCTACTCTGAGTTGACTGGAAGTTTTCACTTCAGTGGAATTTTGCTTTTGTTCATCCTACCTCTTTTGTCAATATAAAAGTACAACAGAGTAACAGTCATTAGTGTTTTATACCCTTGCATCTTTTAATGCACAGAAGTGCCTCTTAAAAAACTTAGTAATAATTACCAAAACAAAATTATGATTTCTGTTAATGATAGTACTTGACTTATATTCCTTAAAACAAGTAGTTTTCCCCAAGTAAATTCTCAAAGTAATCTGACATGCCTCTGACATTTGTGAGCTTCTTAAAAGCTGTGTTAGAGAAACAACTTGGTAAAAATCCAAATGAACATGAAAATAATAGAGTACAAAAATAGGCATTTTTCAATGTGCTAGCTTCAGGTTATCATCCAAAGAGCCACAGGGCCATTTCTTTAAGGTCCCTTCCACCTCAAACCTTTCTCTGATATTGTAAAACTTGCTAGACTGCAGCTAAGCACCATTCCATTCAGGACAAACCTCAGTAAGACTGAGGTTCTCAGTGCCATTTTTAAATTTGAAATTTTTAAATTTGAAATGTTTGTGGACTTTGAGCTGTTTAAGGAGTTGAGATAGAAATACTCAAGCTCTTACATGGATTACAAGACATTTTCTTCCAAAGACATCCTGCAGGATTTCTCATTTGTGGTTTTTGAGGTTGGTGGGGTTTTTTTGCATGATAGCTTGCCTGTTTAAAATGAGCAGTATTATTTGGATAGCCCTTAGGGAAAAGGCTTAATGAATCCATGCAGTTAATGTTAAAACCCACTGAAGAGCTCAATAAAAATACAGTCAGTTCTTTGTAAGACGTCTGGCTTTAATTTTAAAGTTATGTTTACCAGGTAAAACTTTATATGAGTGGAAATCAGTCTGGCTTATCTGTATGCAGTGTCTTACCTGAGAACATGGGAATAAATACAAGTAGGGCTTAAATTCTCCTAAAGGTGTTCATGCTAAATCCTCCTTGGATGGCCTTTCCTACTACAGCCTGAATGCAGAGGCTTGCATAAATGGAAGAAGGTGTATATGAAATCTCTATAAGAACCTCAGGGGAAAAAAAGCCTCCAAATACTTTTCACAACTACCAGATGGGAAGGGGTGACACTGGATGTCATGAAATCAGCAGGGGCAATGACTCAAAATTTGTTTTTCCAAGGAAGCACTGGCATTGTAGCACTGACATTGTAGCAATATATAAAACACTTATTTCGTTGTGACTTTGCTCAGATGTATTACTGAGCACCAGCAATAAACAATCTGTCACATTCCTATATCACATTCCTGTGGTAGTGGACCTGTTAGAGTGCATTCAGAGGAGAACCATGAAGATGTTCAGAGGGCTGGAGCACCTCTGCTGTGGACACAGCCTGAGAGAGCAGAAGGTGCTCAGCCTGGAGAAGAGAAGGCTGCAGGGAGACCTTGGAGCACCTTCCACTACCTAAAGGGTCTCCAGGAGGGCTGGAGAGGGACTTCTGACAAGGCCATGGCATGATAGGACAAGGGGGAATGGCTTTAAACTGAAAGGGAGTAGGTTCAGATTAGATACAGGGGAAGAAATTCTTTACTGTGAGGGTGGCGAGGCACTGGCAGAGGTGACCAGAGAAGCTGTGGATGCCCCGTCCCTGGAAGGGATCCTGTTCATGGCCAGGCTGGATGGGGCTCTGAGCATCCTGCTCTAGGGGAAGGTGTCCCTGCCCATAGCAGGCGAGTTGTAAGCAGATGGTCTTCAGTGTCCCTTCCAACCCAAACCATTCTGTGATTTTGTGAAACTAGCTAGCCTGCAGCTAAGTGCCATTCCAGTCAGAATAACCTCAGTAAGACTAAAGTTCAGAGTGCCTTTCTTAAGAAATGTTTGTTGACTTCGAGCTATTTAAGGAATTGAGATATAAATATTTGAGCAAGTTATCTTTAGGGTCCTTTTCAAGCCAAACTGTTCTATGATTCCATTAATGGTATGAAATGTGGGATACATTCCTATAGCGTGTACACTGTGGTGGCCACCAAGCCCTCACGACATCTAGGAGAAACATTACTTGTCCCAAAATGAACCCTTGGCTATTGCGTGAGGTAACGCCGTGATGTGGGAGCTGGGTTTTCCCTGCATTTGCGAGCGGAGTGGGCCGGGGATGCAGCCAGAGGGAGAGGGTGTGAGGGCACTGGTGTCCCTGGTGTGAGGGAAGCTGCGCCGGTGCACTCACAGGGGCGCCGGACGCTTTCCTCTCCTCCGGACCGAGCAGCGCTCCCTCAGCACCATCGCCGTCCTGGGCTATCCTGGCTGCGCCTGCGCTCCCCGCGGGAGGACGGGCCGCGCCTGCGCTGCCGCCGCAGCCGGGCCGGGCCGGGCCGGGCCAGGGCTGTGTTGGGCTGGGCTGGGCCGGGCCGGGCCGCCGCCCGCCCCAGCCATGTCCGGCGGGCCGCATCGCCCGGGTGCAGCGGAGCCGGGCGGGCTGCGCAGGTGAGAGCGGCCGCGGGGGAACGGGAGAGCGGGGCGGGCAGCGCTGGGCGGGCGGGGGTGCGGCGTTGCCCGTCCGGAGCGGCTCCGGAGGCAGTGCCGGTGTGCAGCCCCTGCTCCTCCGGCAAACGGCCCCGTCTCCTGCGGCCTCCTCTGTCAGTGGCGAGTGAGGGACTCGCCAGCAGCCCCGGGCAGGGCGTGTGGGCTCGGCGAGACGCCCCAGCCCGGCTGGTAGCACTGGGGCTTGGTGTCAGGCTGGAGGGGGCGGGCAGTGCAAAGCAAATACGGGAATGTTTCTAAAAGACATAATTTTCGGTCATCATTTCCCCTTACTAACAGTGTCGTACTTACGGCATGTGTTGTAGTGTACCTAAGCTGGTTTAAAAATTGTTTTCTTTCAAGTCGTTAAACCGAGTGATTGTTTAAGGTGGTTAGGGATGGGTTGTAATCGGTTATTGCCTTGCTGAAAACTGAGCGGGTTGGAAAGTGGAGCCTTTGCCTGGTCTGTGATTCTGGGGAAGCTGTTTGTGCTGTTCGTGCTGTGTGGTGCTGGTAACTTCGAGCCCTCTGGGAGCAGGAAATTCCCAAAGCCAGGCAGGGTGGAGGAGGAAGGGAAAGAAAACATGGGCGGTTAACAAAGGAGTAAAACATCAGAAATCCTTTATTCTTCCTTCTTGAGCTAAGGGCAGAGACCTGGCGCGTACAGAGCAGCGTGTTTGCTGTTAGTCACACATACAAAAACATGTAACAGAGGCTGCCGTGCCAGAGCGTTCTCTCGGGCAGGTGTGGGGTGGATCTGCAGCTGCCGTCCTCAGCCCAGAAGCCACCTCAGGTGTTGGGAGATGCTACGGTTGTGTTTTGTTTAGTAAGCTGTCATTTAAGGTGTCAAAGGCTCCAGAACCAAGGAGGAGAATGTAGGCAGCTCAAGCCTTAAGCAATCCCTGGCTGAGCTGCCAGTGTGTTGTGAGCACTAGAGGCAGCTCCTTGTCCCAGGTTTCCTTGTGAGGGCTCCAGAATTTCCTGTGTAAAAGTGTTTCCACATAAACATTTGACCTACTTCTCGCTAGCCATTATGTTGAAATGTAGTTTCTGGACTTGCCTTTTCTGTGAGTTTACTACTGGATGGGGCAGTAAATAAATGTCAAATTTATTTACTGCTGACAGAGGATGGACATGTCCACAAGTCCATAAACGCTGGTGGCAGTCCTCAATTAGATTTTCTTCCCCACCAATTTGTTTGCAAAAAGAGTGTAATTTTTGTTATCAAAATATTAACTGTTTATTTGAAAATGTTGATGTCTTCATTTCATTAGTCAAAGTTATTTTCTGAGCAATTGCACCAACACCTTTGTTAAGTATTTGTTGCCTGAGTAAGCTGATATGAATCATGTGTCTGTATGCCAAATCAAACTGTCCATCTTTGATTTTTAGATGCCATGTTCAATGGCTACCAGTGACTTGATTTCAGATGAAAATTCTTCTTTTCTAGTTCTGTGCAACATCCACACTGCTGGCATCAGGAGCAGGAACATGGAAACTGCAATGATTCTGATTCTCTGGTGTTGGAGGAATATCAATGTGGCCATTCAGACCACTGGCTGGAGAGGTAAGGAATAAGTGTACATTTTTTCTAAATCTCTCCTTTGCTGGGCTGTTCTTTAGGACTCCAAGAAAAGCTTGGATGTGTTCAGGTTGAGTGTTCTCTTGTAATGGAGTAGCACAGAGTGAGGAGATGATACCTGCATCATGCCTAAAGCAGAGCATCCAGTGTGTCTCATGGAAATACCTGCCACAGCATTAGCAAGTGTTCAAAGTGAAAGGGAGAAGGGCTGTGTGCTGAAGCAGTAGTTTGAGCCCTTTATTGCTGAAGTCTTCAATATTAGTATAAAACTCCCAGTGAAGCCATTTGCTGTTATTCTTACACTTTGCTCCTGCATCTTTCTGTGTAAAAGTGAGCAGACCATCATTGTCTCTTCACAGTCCACTTGGTATATTGAGCTGTACTACAGATGTTAGTGAGCACCTTTTTTTTCCTGTAGTCCATTCCTGAGGACAATTTAAGATGAGCTAGAGCTCTATACTTAGGTAATTCTATGAATATTTTCTTGGCTTTTGGATATTCTAGACTAAAGACCCAAGGTGGGGGAAGTGGTTGAGAGTTAGTGTCTGATAGCAAGGGTGAAAAGTGCTGAGTGCTGAGATATGTGCAGCAAACTGAACAGAATGTACGACGATGTGTTTTACTAAGGGTACATGAAAATATTTTCTATGTAATTCGTACATTTCTGAGTATTCCACTGTATGAAAGTGATTTTAATTTTTGATGGCATATTTAATATTGCTTTGTTAAGGAATTAATTAATGTTTTGAAGAGCTTAGGAAAGGCCTTGTATTCAGGAGTGTTTTCTGTGTCTTTGATGTGGTCATAAAAAGTACTAAGAGTAGGGCATGAGTGTGAGACTTAAGTGGATGTGCCAGGAGTGTTTTGTGTTTCTCTTTTGCTGAGTAGGTTTGTTCCTTTTCAGTGTGGAGTCTTTGTCCTGTGTTACAATGAGATTGTCAGCTTGCATGGTAATTTCATCTGTTGATGTGAAACCATTTAGGGAAAGTAAGACTGTCAGCTAAATCTGCTTCTGTATTATTTACATGACTTTTTAAATGTTGAGGCCTTAAAATTGACAGAAGAGGACAGGCTGAAGGTCACCTTAGAACTGAAATAGAGAAGGAACATGCCCATGGTTTTACAGTTGTGGAGCTGGTTTTGTCCATTCTTGATGTTTCTGTTGATTAATTGTGTAACATGCAACAAAGTCATGTGGAATTCCCATTATTTTTTTAGCTCTGCAACGTCAGAACATTCTAGGCCACTTTCCAGTTGCCTGAATTGGGAAGGTAGAACTGAAGAAGGCAAAACAATGAGGACATCAAATAAAAAAATGACCCAGTAGGTATTGAGCTCTTGCTGCCTATTGTTACATTGGTTTTAGCAAAAGCCATCTGATGGTCCCTGGCTCGTTCATATGCAGTAATGAAGATTTGAAGCCACAGACAGGCTGTTTCATATCAAGCCTGAAGGATGCTTCAGGGAGGGAGTAGCACTGAGAGGTTTTAACTCACAAGTTACTTGTGTGATTTGATTAGCAGAGCTTTCACTTCTGTGAACTAGGGAGGTAAGAGTTGTGCTCACTGTCTGTCATTAAGAATAGAGGGCAGCTCTAGAATATGTGTTTATGTAAATTCCTATAATGCTATTAAGGTTCTTTTCAACTTTATTTTTATTTTCAAATTCTGTTACAAGCAACTCTGCCAATCCAGCAGAAAGGGAAACTGATGAGGTGGTCCTGAGGAGAAGACAAAAACAGATCAATTTTGGCAAGAATACTCTGGCATATGACAGATACATTAAAGAAGTTCCAAAGTAAGTTGCCCTGTGTTGCAGATTTCCAGGTGAACCCTTAGTTGTTCCTGGTGGGTGTTTGTGTGTGTAGCATAGCACACAGCCTTAGCTCTCTTGAAATTCTTCCTGTGGTTTTCACAGCTGAGTGTGACATGATATGATGTGTGATATCTCTGGGTAATTTGAGTCAGCTGTCCCAACACTTTTCCCTCTCAACCCTCTCACCTTATTGTGTGTGGGGTGGGGAGAGGAGAAGACCTTGAAGCTGTGCAAGCACTGTTCAGTCATGCCCAAAAATCAGTGTGTTTATCAGCACTGTTTTAGTGATTAGTACAAAACACAGCACTACAGGGACTGCTGGGGAGGAAGGTAACTCCATCCTTGAGAGACTGAGTCCAATACTAAATAAAAGGAGCTGCACTTAGGAAAAGTAAAGCAGGAGGAGCTGGAGGTTAGGATAATATTGAAGCAGTGTGAGTTATGCTTCTGTTTCATCTTTGTTCATGGGCAGTGGGGCTCTGCTTCTGGCAGCTGTCAGAGTGCTGGACTGGATGAGCCTCCAGCCTGACTCAGCACGTTATGGTGTGTTGTTGCTTTTGTGATTTAGTTTTGGTAACACATTTCAGTGAAGTGATTAAAAATAGGAATGGTTCTTTATTAGACCACTGATGCTTGTGTGACCTGAAGGACTGAGGATTCTTTTTAAGGAAAACTCTCCTTATGCTCTGAAATAACAAATGTCACTGTGTGTTCCCAGGAGCCAGCGACTTCCAGGGGTTCACCCTACAACTCCCAACAAGTTCAAGAAGTACAGCCGCAGGTCCTGGGACCGGCAGATCAAGCTGTGGAAGATTGCACTGCATGCCTGGGATCCTCCTGCTGAAGAAACCTGGGATCTGCAGCCTGTGTATGTTCTGTGGGTCAATCAAGTCAGGGCTTAAGGAATTTAAGGTGGGCTCTGTAGTTCCTTTAGAGCATTCCTGACTGGGAGAAAAAGACCAGACTCAGCAATGGGAGTAGCCTTGAATGCTTTGTTTTCCATTCTGTTAGTCTTCAAGGTATTGCAGTTATTTAGTCTAAGTTAATCTGCAGTCAGGTGTTATGGGGAGAAAGGCATTTGGTCTGCCTGCAGCAGCACATTGCCTTCCCCTTTGTATTTACACTGCTGGGCACAAGGTAATGCTACTTTTCTGGAAAGCGACAGACACGAGCAGAAACTTGGCAATTATTGTTCCTTGACTTGAATAACTTTCCATCTTTGCTTTTCCTGATGTCAGTGGAACCACATGTCTCCTACACTGACAATATGTGAGAGGATTTGAGATATTTAAGTAGTTGAGAGAGAGAGAGATTTCTGTGCTCTCTGCAGGATGGTGGCAACTGTGTTCAAGAAGAAAATATTTTTATCTTTTCAGAAGTTTGAACTTCTATACCAAGGCTAGTTCTGCTACTTAATTCCATTCATTACAAGAGTTGGACTAGTAAATTGGGTGGAGAAGAGTGAATGGAATTCTCTTGCCTGTGTTACTGCACTGTGTAAATAGTTTTACCTGTGTTGGAATTGACCTGTGGTAGAAGTTTCAGTTTTTCTATCATTTGGGTGTCATATGGGATTAACTGTTACTTCTTACTGCAGCTAAATTGTTTTCTGTTTGGAGCAGTAAGCCAGATTAATAGTTTTTAAAAGTTTTTTCTCTTTTCCTGCCATGTTTAGCAGTACAGAACCTTCAGGTAGTTCCCAGGAATGGTTCTGCAAAGATGAGGATGTTCCTGGCTCCTTTGTGTTTGACGAAAAGCAGATGAGAAATGAGTGTGAAGATGAATGCAGGCAGACTGCCCACACACCTGAGAGGTATCAGAGCAAACTTCTGTGCTTAACTAAGGGAAATCATTCTGTACAGGTCAGTGCTGTCAGGCTTTTGGAGGAAATGTTTGGTGTGGAAGGGCACTTAATACTCAGCTCTGGGGTTTGACACCTTTGCTGTTGAATGTAATCCATGAGAGGTACAGAGCAATAAATATGGAAAATTTACCAGCATTGCTGAATTACCTGATTTAACAGAAGGAAATGCAGTGTTTTTTCAGCTTCTCAGTTTATACAGCAGAGTACTGAGGTTTCTTTAACCATTGCTGGTATGTTCTGAAAGTAGAGGAGCTTTTGCAGGAGCAGGAATCCCCATTGTTCTTAGAGTTGTGCCTGTCTGGAGCACAGCAGGGAGGCTGACTGTGACAGGCACTTCCCTGTTTAGTGAAATATCTTGTGCTGGGGTGATGTGTGTGAAACTCAAAAAGGTTTTGTTTCCAAACTGTGAGAGATTTCCTCAGGGTTCCTCTGTGTGACTGAGGAATCATAGCCCAAAAGAAAACTTCCTCAGCAGCATATGCTCTTGTTTAGCAGGACAGTGGTAAACATTTAAACATAGATAAGAAGTGTTATGTGTGTAAAATCTGTTTTTGTAGTTCCTGTTCTCCCAATTCTTCTCCAGTATGGAAACGCAGAAGAAGAAACAATTCTGACTCCTCTGTGGTTTCAGAGAGCAAAAACCATTATCTGCACATGTACCACACTGCACTGGAAAGGTATGAAGTGATTCTCCATGTGGGAAATCATTGATACCATGAACTGAGTTTTGGAACATGACTGGTATTTTTCTCTCCCTTAGTCAATAGCTTTAATTTTATCTAAATGTGTGCAATGTAATGAGGAAGGGAGATCATGTCAGAATAATTGTGCTGTATGATAGCAAATATTTACAGTACTCCATTGCAAAGTGTCAGAAGACACAGCACAGGTTGTGTTTTGTGTGTAGATTTAGGCAACACTAAGGATTGTGGCAGTTTAGTAGACATTTCACACTAACCTTAGTGAAAATGTTCCTGCAGGTATGGTTTCTTCTCTCTGCTTAGCCCCCTTCTGAAAAATTAAGAGGAACTGTGTTACCACAGTGTATGGACTCAGGCATTTTCATTTTCTTTCCAGCCTTACTGCCTCAGGACATCAGGATGCTTTTTCCAAGTGCTCAGAGTGGGAAGCCTTTGGTGCAAAAGATGAAGTCATGGCAGTGCAGCAAAGTATAGAAATAACAAGGTAAATACCCCAGTGATTTTGTTGTTTTTTGTTACTGATGCTGTAGTGGTGTCCTTTCCTTTTCTTTTTCATCTTTACCTTCATTGGTCTCTACTTGGTTTTTTTTTCTCCCTTTTTACCTTTCTTCCAGCACATGGTATGTTTGGTTGTTATTTCTGTTCTTTGAGTTTATTTGGCTTTTTCCAGTCTGTCTCTCCATCAGTTGCTTTCTGCTGCTTCTACCCTCCCAGGTGATGCTGGAAAATGATGAGCCCCTTTCAAACTCTGTCTTGTGGAAAGTTTGCCTCTCATTTCCTCAGCCTAAGAGCTGGAAGCTTCCTCTATCTGTCTCCCTAGAGATTAAGTTGTTTTGTTGTTGCAACAAACCAACAAACAAAAATCTAAGGAAAAAAAGGCCAGGAAAAAACCCTACGTAACACAAGCGACTAAAATATTTATTTAAAGAATTTTTTTGTTGTTGTTTATAAATCACTAATAGTGATTTATTTTTTCATTTCCACCTGTGTGTTTACTTTTCCACATCACTGATTTGTGGGTGAGCAATGTTAGTAATCTGAAGTATATTATATAAATGTGGTGTCATTAAACTAAAGACAGTCTGTGGGTGGACTGTGTCAGTGCAAATACCCCATGTGATTGTATCATGGATAGCCCATATTTCCCAGTGTGCTGCAGCTCAACAGGTCTTTCTCAAAACATGGCTTATGGCTATATTACTTATTTCCACAGTTTGTAGTTCCAGAGCATACTGGGGAAATATCTTACCTGTTGTTTTTTTAGATTAACATAATTTCTCAACGCAAAAAAACCTTTTTTTCCCAAGCAGAAGATATTTTTAATCCATTATATGAGTACAGTTTTTCTACTGTGAGATTTAGCACAGCCTGAAACCAAAATACCAAGTTATCATGTGATCTCTAAAGTATGAGGGGCTTTTTGTGTCTGTGTAAACTGGATTAAATTGCCCAGAGAAGTTGTGGCTGCCTCATTCTTGGAAGTGCTAAAGGGATTGAACAGAACTTTGAGCAACATGGTCTAGTGGAAGGTGTCCCTTCCTGTAGCAGAGGGTGGGAACTGGATGATCTTTAAGGTCACCTCCAAGTCAAACGTTTCTCTGATATGGTAAAACTTGCTAGACTGCAGCTAAGCACCATTCCATTCAGGACAAACCTCAGTAAGACTGAGGTTCTCAGTGCCATTTTTAAATTTTAAATTTTTAAATTTGAAATGTTTGTGGACTTTGAGCTGTTTAAGGAGTTGAGATAGAAATACTCAAGCTCTTACATGGATTACAAGACAGTTTCTTCCAAAGACATCCTGCAGGATTTCTCATTTGTGGTTTTTGAGGTTGGTGGGGTTTTTTGCTACAGCTTGCCTGTTTAAAATGAGCAGTATTATTTGGATAGCCCTTAGGGAAAAGGCTTAATGAATCCATGCAGTTAATGTTAAAACCCACTGAAGAGCTCAATAAAAATACAGTCAGTTCTTTGTAAGACGTCTGGCTTTAATTTTAAAGTTATGTTTACCAGGTAAAACTTTATATGAGTGGAAATCAGTCTGGCTTATCTGTATGCAGTGTCTTACCTGAGAACATGGGAATAAATACAAATAGGGCTTAAATTCTCCTAAAGGTGTTCATGCTAAATCCTCCTTGGATGGCCTTTCCTACTACAGCCTGAATGCAGAGGCTTGCATAAATGGAAGAAGGTGTATATGAAATCTCTATAAGAACCTCAGGGGAAAAAAAGCCTCCAAATACTTCTCACAGCTACCAGATGGGAAGGGGTGACACTGGATGTCATGAAATCAGCAGGGGCAATGACTCAAAATTTGTTTTTCCAAGGAAGCACTGGCATTGTAGCAATGGTGTGTCCTATATAAAATATTTATTTAATCGTGTGAGTAACATGGCTCGCTATTTAAAATTTTTTAAAAGTTTATTAAGGGATAAGAGTGTTAAAATCCAGCTCTGGTGTGCTTGGTTGTTTGACAAAAGCCACAGTTAACTTTAACCATGTTCTCTATATTCTGTTTCATTGCAGGTGGTACATGAGTATTGATAAGGGTTTATATATATTCAAACAATGTTTTGAGTTTAGATGTTCTTTTGCTTGGTTTTAAACTTTGACTTGTCTTCATGCCATCTTGTAGCTTAAACTAATGTGTTTTATTTCTTCTTGTGGTTCCATCCTGTTGTATTTTCACTCCCTGATAATGAGATTTAATAAATTCTTCTTCTTTTTCGTGATCTGGTTTCTGTTTCAGTTATCTTGTCTTTTAGATAAGATAGTCCCCGAATGTGGGAAATCACCTAATCATTTTACACCATTTTCTGAGTTAGTTAAATGAAAAATCACTACAACATTTCGCAGTCTCTGTTATGCTATGGTCTAAAATATTATAGATTACACTACTATTTATAAAAGCTATACAGTACATATATAAACAGACAGATTATACTCTATCAAAAGCAGTAATTACAAATTTTACTGTATGAGGATTTTTCTGATCAATAGTACCATGCAAAACAAAAGTTAATATATAACTGTGAAAGCCAATAACTACATTTATTATTTATAACACACACATACAGAAACATGGTGGATTTAGAGTGCAGAGGCTGCTGTTCCAGAGCGTTCTCTCAGGCAGGTGTGGGGTGGATCTGCAGCTGCCCTCCTTGGACCAGCAGCCACCTCAGGTGTTGGGAGATGCTACAGTGGTGTTTTGTTTAGTAAGCTGTCATTTAAGGTGTCAAAGGCTACAGAACCAAGGAGGAGAATGTAGACAGCTCAAGCCTTAAGCAATCCCTGGCTGAGCTGCCGGTGTGTTGTGAGCACTAGAGGCAGCTCCTTGTCCCAGGTTTCCTTGTGAGGGCTCCAGAATTTCCTGTGTAAAAGTGTTTCCACATAAACATTTCACCTACTTCTCACTAGCCATTATGTTAAAATGTACTCTGTGGACTTGCCTTTTCTGTGAGTTTACTACTGGATGGAACAGTAAATAAATGTCAAATTTATTTACTGCTGACAGAGGATGGACGTGTCCACAAGTCCATAAACGGTGGTGGCAGTCCTCAATTAGGTTTTTCTTCCCCACCAATTTGTTTGCAAAAAGAGTGTAATTTTTGTTAACAAAATATTAAGTGTTTATTTGAAAATGTTGATGTCTTCATTTCATTAGTCAAAGTTATTTTCTGAGCAGTTCCACTAACACCTTTGTTAAGTATGTGTTGCCTGAGTAAGCTGATATGAATCATGTGTCTGTATACCAAATCAAACTGTCCATCTTTGATTTTTAGAGGCCATGCTCAGTGGCTACCAGTGACCTGATTTCAGATGAAAATTCTTCTTTTCTAGTTCTGTGCAACATCCACACTGCTGGCATCAGGAGCAGGAGCATAGAAACTGCAATGATTCTGATTCTCTGGTGTTGGAGGAATATCAATGTGGCCATTCAGACCACTGGCTGGAGAGGTAAGGAATAAGTGTACATTTTTTCTAAATCTCTCCTTTGCTGGGCTGTTCTTTAGGACTCCAAGAAAAGCTTGGATGTGTTCAGGTTGAGTGTTCTCTTGTAATGGAGTAGCACAGAGTGAGGAGATGATACCTGCATCATGCCCAAAGCAGACCATCCAGTGTGTCTCATGGAAATACCTGCCACAGCATTAGCAAGTGTTCAAAGTGAAAGGGAGAAGGGCTGTGTGCTGAAGCAGTAGTTTGAGCCCTTTATTGCTGAAGTCTTCAATATTAGTATAAAACTCCCAGTGAAGCCATTTGCTGTTATTCTTACACTTTGCTCCTGCATCTTTCTGTGTAAAAGTGAGCAGACCATCTTTGTCTCTTCACAGTCCACTTGGTATATTGAGCTGTACTACAGATGTTAGTGAGCACCTTTTTTTTCCTGTAGTCCATTCCTGAGGACAATTTAAGATGAGCTAGAGCTCTATACTTAGGTAATTCTATGAATATTTTCTTGGCTTTTGGATATTCTAGACTAAAGACCCAAGGTGGGGGAAGTGGTTGAGAGTTAGTGTCTGATAGCAAGGGTGAAAGTGGTGAGTGCTGAGATATGTGCAGCAAACTGAACAGAATGTAAGAGGAAATGTTTTACTAAGGGTACATGAAAATATTTTCTATGTAATTCGTACATTTCTGAGTATTCCACTGTATGAAAGTGATTTTAATTTTTGATGGCATGTTTAATATTGCTTTGTTAAGGAATTAATGTTTTGAAGAGCTTAGGAAAGGCCTTGTATTCAGGAGTGTTTTCTGTGTCTTTGATGTGGTCATAAAAAGTACTAAGAGTAGGGCATGAGTGTGAGACTTAAGTGGATGTGCCAGGAGTGTTTTGTGTTTCTCTTTTGCTGAGTAGGTTTGTTCCTTTTCAGTGTGGAGTCTTTGTCCTGTGTTACAATGAGATTGTCAGCTTGCATGGTAATTTCATCTGTTGATGTGAAACCATTTAGGGAAAGTAAGACTGTCAGCTAAATCTGCTTCTGTATTATTTACATGACTTGTTAAATGTTGAGGCCTTAAAATTGACAGAAGAGGACAGGCTGAAGGTCACCTTAGAACTGAAATAGAGAAGGAACATGCCCATGGTTTTACAGTTGTGGAGCTGGTTTTGTCCATTCTTGATGTTTCTGTTGATTAATTGTGTAACATGCAACAAAGTCATGTGGAATTCTCATTATTTTTTAGCTCTGCAACGTCAGAACATTCTAGGCCACTTTCCAGTTGCCTGAATTGGGAGGGTAGAACTGAAGAAGGCAAAACAACGAGGACATCAAATAAAAAAATGACCCAGTAGGTATTGAGCTATTGCTGCTTATTATTGTATTGGTTTTAGCAACAACCATCTGATGGTCCCTGGCTCGTTCATATGCAGTAATGAAGATTTGAAACCCCAGACAGGCTGTTTCATATCAAGCCTGAAGGATGCTTCAGGGAGGGAGTAGCACTGAGAGGTTTTAACTCACAAGTTACTTGTGTGATTTGATTAGCAGAGCTTTCACTTCTGTGAACTAGGGAGGTAAGAGTTGTGCTCACTGTCTGTCATTAAGAATAGAGGGCAGCTCTAGAATATGTGTTTATGTAAATTCCTATAATGCTATTAAGGTTCTTTTCAACTTTATTTTTATTTTCAAATTCTGTTACAAGCAACTCTGCCAATCCAGCAGAAAGGGAAACTGATGAGGTGGTCCTGAGGAGAAGACAAAAACAGATCAATTTTGGCAAGAATACTCTGGCATATGACAGATACATTAAAGAAGTTCCAAAGTAAGTTGCCCTGTGTTGCAGATTTCCAGGTGAACCCTTAGTTGTTCCTGGTGGGTGTTTGTGTGTGTAGCATAGCACACAGCCTTAGCTCTCTTGAAATTCTTCCTGTGGTTTTCACAGCTGAGTGTGACATGATATGATGTGTGATATCTCTGGGTAATTTGAGTCAGCTGTCCCAGCACTTTTCCCTCTCAACCCTCTCACCTTATTGTGTGTGGGGTGGGGAGAGGAGAAGACCTTGAAGCTGTGCAAGCACTGTTCAGTCATGCCCAAAAATCAGTGTGTTTATCAGCACTGTTTTAGTGATTAGTACAAAACACAGCACTACAGGGACTGCTGGGGAGGAAGGTAACTCCATCCTTGAGAGACTGAGTCCAATACTAAATAAAAGGAGCTGCACTTGACTCAGGAAAAGTAAAGCAGGAGGAGCTGAAGGTTAGGATAATATTGAAGCAGTGTGAGTTATGCTTCTGTTTCATCTTTGTTCATGGGCAGTGGGGCTCTGCTTCTGGCAGCTGTCAGAGTGCTGGACTGGATGAGCCTCCAGCCTGACTCAGCACGTTATGGTGTGTTGTTGCTTTTGTGACTTAGTTTTGGTAACATCTTATACACATTTCAGTGATTAAAAATATGAATGGTTCTTTATTAGACCACTGATGCTTGTGTGACCTGAAGGACTGAGGATTCTTTTGAAGAAAAACTCTCCTTATGCTCTGAAATAACAAATGTCACTGTGTGTTTCCAGGAGCCAGCGACTTCCAGGGGTTCACCCTACAACTCCCAACAAGTTCAAGAAGTACAGCCGCAGGTCCTGGGACCGGCAGATCAAGCTGTGGAAGATTGCACTGCATGCCTGGGATCCTCCTGCTGAAGAAACCTGGGATCTGCAGCCTGTGTATGTTCTGTGGGTCAATCAAGTCAGGGCTTAAGGAATTTAAGGTGGGCTCTGTAGTTCCTTTAGAGCACTCCTGACTGGGAGAAAAAGATCAGACTCAACAGTGGGAGTAGCCTTGAATGCTTTGTTTTCCATTCTATTAGTCTTCAAGATATTGCAGTTATTGAGTCTAAGTTAATCTGCAGTCAGGTGTTATGGGGAGAAAGGCATTTGGTCTGCCTGCAGCAGCACATTCCCTTCCCCTTTGTATTTACACTGCTGGGCACAAGGTAATGCTACTTTTCTGGAAAGCGACAGACACGAGCAGAAACTTGGCAATTATTGTTCCTTGACTTGAATAACTTTCCATCTTTTTTTTTCCTGATGTCAGTGGAGCCACATGTCTCCTACACTGACAATATGTGAGAGGATTGGAGATGTTTAAGTAGTTGAGAGAGAGATTTCTGTGTTCTCTGCAGGATGGTGGCAACTGTGTTCAAGAAGGAAATATTTTTATCTTTTCAGAAGTTTAATTTTCAATATCAAGGCTAGTTCTGCTACTTAATTCCATTCATTACAAGATTTGGACTAGTAAATTGGGAGGAGAAGAGTGAATGGAATTCTCTTGGCCGTGTTACTGCACTGTGTAAATAGTTTTACCTGTGTTGGAATTGACCTGTGGTAGAAGTTTCAGTTTTTCTATCATTTGGGTGTCATATGGGATTAACTGTTACTTCTTACTGCAGCTAAATTGTTTTCTGTTTGGAGCAGTAAGACAGATTAATAGTTTTTTAAAGTTTTTTCTCTTTTCCTGCTGTGTTTAGCAGTACAGAACCTTCAGGTAGTTCCCAGGAATGGTTCTGCAAAGATGAGGATGATCCTGGCTCCTTTGTGTTTGACGAAAAGCAGATGAGAAATGAGTGTGAAGATGAATGCAGGCAGACTGCCCACACACCTGAGAGGTATCAGAGCAAACTTCTGTGCTTAACTTAGGGAAATAATTCTGTACAGGTCAGTGCTGTCAGGTTTTTGGAGGAAATGTTTGGTGTGCAAGGGCAGTTAATACTCAGCCCTGGGGTTTGACGCCTTTGCTGTTGAATGTAATCCATCAGAGGTACAGAGCAATAAATATGGAAAATTTACCAGCATTGCTGAATTACCTGATTTAACAGAAGGAAATGCAGTGTTTTTTCAGCTTCTCAGTTTATACAGCAGAGTACTGAGGTTTCTTTAACCATTGCTGGTATGTTCTGAAAGTAGAGGAGCTTTTGCAGGAGCAGGAATCCCCATTGTTCTTAGAGTTGTGCCTGTCTGGAGCACAGCAGGGAGGCTGACTGTGACAGGCACTTCCCTGTTTAGTGAAATATCTTGTCCTGGGGTGATGTGTGTGAAGCTCAAAATGGTTTTGTTTCCAAACTGTGAGAGATTTCCTCAGGGTTCCTCTGTGTGACTGAGGAATCATAGCCCAAAAGAAAACTTCCTTAGCAGCATATGCTGTTGTTTAGCAGGACTGTGGTAAACATTTAAACATAGATAAGAAGTGTTATGTGTGTAAAATCTGTTTTTGTAGTTCCTGTTCTCCCAATTCTTCTCCAGTATGGAAACGCAGAAGAAGAAACAATTCTGACTCCTCTGTGGTTTCAGAGAGCAAAAACCATTATCTGCACATGTACCACACTGCACTGGAAAGGTATGAAGTGATTCTCCATGTGGGAAATCATTGATACCATGAACTGACTTTTGGACCATGACTGGTATTTTTCTCTCCCTTCGTCAATAGCTTTAATTTTATCTAAATATGTACAATGTAATGAGGAAGGGAGATCATGTCAGAATAATTGTGCTGTGTGATAGCAAATATTTACAGTACTCCATTGCAAAGTGTCAGAAGACACAGCCCAGGTTGTGTTTTGTGTGTAGATTTAGGCAACACTAAGGATTTTGGCAGTTTAGTAGACATTTCACACTAACCTTAGTGAAAATGTTCCTGCAGGTATGGTTTCTTTTCTCTGCTTAGCCCCCTTCTGAAAACTTAAGAGGAACTGTGTTACCACAGTGTATGGACTCAGGCATTTTCATTTTCTTTCCAGCCTTACTGCCTCAGGACATCAGGATGCTTTTTCCAAGTGCTCAGAGTGGGAAGCCTTTGGTGAAAAAGATGAAGTCATGGCAGTGCAACCAAGTATAGAAATAACAAGGTAAATACCCCAGTGATTTTGTTGTTTTTGTTGGTGATGCTGTAGCAGTGTCCTTTCCTTTCCTTTTTCATCTTTTCCTTCAATCTTTTCTTTTCCCCTTCTTACATTTCCTCCAGCCATGGTATGTTTGGTTGTTATTTCTGTTCTTTGAGTTTATTTGGCTTTCTCCAGTCTGTCTCTCCATCTGTTGCTTTCTGCTGCCTCTGCCATCCCAGGTAATGCTGGAAAATGATGAGCCCCTTTCAAACTCTGTCTTGTGGCAAGAATTGGAAGTTTGCCTCTCACTTCTTCAGCCTAAGAGCTGGCAGTTTCCTCTCTGTCTCCCTAGAGATTGTTTTGTAGTGACAACAACAATAGCTGTTCATTTTTATGCAGTGGCTTGATTCCAGCCAGTTATTCTTCCGTATGGAACAATCCAAAACAGAAGAAATCCAGCTTCTTTCTGCCTGCCAGCAAGACTTGCAGAGATGCAGACTTCAGGCTGGAGAGGTATCAAAGGCAGCTCATCAGCTGGGGTTTGAGGGGTATTTTTGTCTATTATTTTAGTAGCTTTGTTGCTTTCTTGCTGTAATTCAATCCAAGCATTTATTATAAACATATGATTTTTAATTTTTGTTTAGCTGTTTTTTGCTATTTGTCTTAGAGATATGTTGATCAATATTTATATGTTGTGTGGTAAAATTCTGTCTTTATGTTTTCATGTTATAGTCTGTGTTAATGTAAAAGGATTGTAGCTGTATTTAGTATTCAAAAGTTACCACAGTAAAGCCACTTAGTCTTTGGTTTTTGTTTTTTTTTATTTGTAGGCTTAAACTTTGTAGCAGTTTATTGGATGGACATCAGTCAGAATACCCTGACAGAAGATGGGAAAGTGCAAATGCTGAAGATACAATACTGAGGAAAAAAATCTAAATATGAAGGTGAGTTTGTGCTGACTGCTTACTTGATCTCTTCTGTTTCAGTCACCCATCCACAGGATCATTCTGCCAAATGCAACTGTTCAGTTCAGGCAGATCAGTTTCTCTTTTATTTTATTAGTGTTTTATCCCATCCTCTTGCACTTAATACAGCACCTTAATTAAAAGACCTAATGCTTCAGACTTGCTAAGTTGAAAGTGTTACCTGTCAGCCAGAAAATGTGTTTTTATCTCTCAAATGAAAAGTGCCAATTTTAAAGTATTTCAGTAGCACCTTTTCTGTCTCTTAATATTTTTGTGATGAAGTAACAACTTGGCATTTGCAGCAGTAGATTTTAGTGAAAATTTTCTCTTGCATTGTAGATTCCTGTGGTGCATTAATAGGATGGTGGTAATCTGAGTTAAACAGATTTTATTAGCAGTTAGTCTTTTGTGTAATTAGATTGTCTTTGATCTACATTTGGTGCAGGCTCTGAAACATGGACTAGGATATAAATGTCTGTTAATCAGTGATCTTTGAAAATTTGTCCTTATAAAACTCATTAAGAATATGGCCAAAATTAGTTTTACTCTTAGATTTTGGATTATAGCAACGTGAGGAAAAGGCAGCTAGAGCTTTTAAAAATTATGCTGATGACATTTTTCTCTTGACTTTATTGATTTTTAATTTAAATTCTTTGAACATTAATAAGATTTAACATGCTTCCTCTTTTTTAAAGTGCTAATTCAATATTTGAAAATATCTAGTCTCTCTTTGTATATAGAAATATTGAAGAAAGAATTTCTCCTGTGACAGAAAAAGACTTGAAGAATAGGGATGTATTCTGAGATCAGCAGATCAAGTCTTGGAAAACTGGTGCTGTCATGTAGGACCTGCACTGAAAGGGAAGAGATTTACAGTCAGCATAAGTGCAATCAACACAAGGTGAAATTATTCAGGTAAAAGAAGCATCTCTGGGTCACAGTTAAGAGCCTGTCTGGTTTCCACATAGTTGATATCTATGGTCTTTGTTGTAAATTAGGCTGTATTTTTTGCAGTGGTCTTTGTTGTAAATTAGGCTGTATTAAGGAGTGTATATATGCAGTGGGTTTGTAATCACTTGTTCTAATTGAAAAAAAGGCTCTGTTAGTGTAGAATATATGAAGTGAATGCCTTCTCTGTGGAGCAATACATTGGTTTTCTGGGATGGAAAGATCAGTATTCAGAGCAGCATTGCCTTTAACCTTGGCTTTTAGGTATGATGAGCTCTAGCTCTCAAGTGTCAGGAACTTTATCTGTGGAAGTTTAATCTTGCTTGAAAATCAGATAGTGGTTTACGTGGTAGAATTCCACACTACCTTCCCTTTTGCTATTTTAAGAAAATTTCTGTCTTAAACAGTAAATGTGAATATATCTGGTTGATTTCTAGGGAAGAAACCTTAGTCCATAGGACACTTAAGATATGGCAGAAATTTGTTAATTGGAATTGAGATAAAAGTTTGTTTTATGAATTAATAATGACATTTAGACAAAAATGATGCAGGGGGTTGGGAAGAATAGGCTCAGCTGCTTCCTTTTCTCTCTGAAAAATGCTTCAGGAATGTAGAGAATCTAGTAGTGTATTTTTTCAGTGATTTATGTTCTCAAAATGTTCATACTAGTTCTAACACTTCATTTAGTATGGGCAGTATGGGTTTCTCCTTTATACTGTGCTATAAGCTCACATATGCTCTCTTCCATTTACTGCTACTGTAACACTACAGCTTAAAAGAGGAAAAGAGGAGAATATTTTGTTGTTAATGCCTGGATATAGCATGTTTATAAAATGCTGTTACCTGCTTTTTTTGTTTAGGTTTCTCCAGATCTTTATAAGGATAGATTGTTTTCTGCAAGCTGTGCCTCAAGTGTAAAACTCCAGATTTTGTGAAACCTGTGCTGCAATGACAATGGATGTTCCTTAAAGCCTTTGTGAGGACATTGCTGCTGTGCCTGCATTGGCAGGTGACACATCATATAATGTGCATTAGATTTCAAAAGCTGCTTCAGGTGATGGATCCTGCCATTCCTCTGGAGGTCTTGTTCCTCAGGATGTGCTGATGCTTCACCAGAGAATTGGTCCAGTGTCAAATCAGACTGAAAAATGAACGCCTCCAACCAAGGAACCTCCTCTGCTCCCCTGGACCAGAACTGGACATCCAGCCTGAAGAACTGCTTCAAAAGAATGTAGATCATTTCAGCCTTCCTCCAGCCATTAAAGACAAGCTGTTCATAACTTTTGGATTGGGTGATCACCCATTTGGCATATTTATTGTTCTCTGAGATGTATTAAGGTGGTGTTTGCCTAAGCCAGGTGAGAGAAGAGAAAGGAAAGGTAGATGGTTTATCAAAATCAGATCCATTTCTTGAAAGGGTTGAGTGACTGTTAGAACAGCAGCACAGCTCAAATACCTGGATTTTGCTTTTATGTGTGTTGCAGCCTGACCCAAAGAGCCAGTCTACAGTCAGAGGGTAGGAGAGGATGCATTCAGTGCCTGTTGTTCACACAACTGTTGGGGATAAATAGCAGTATTTGCAGGTGTGGAGCTGCTCTTGTCCAGGCTAAGGGTTGTGATGGTGTTGGGATAGGCTCTCTTTTTTTGTTCTGCTAGCACTGTGTGCAGAAGTTTGAAGTGAGAGCTGTGGCTACAGTGGTTTGGACTAAATCCACGTGCCAGTTACAAGAATGTTACAGTCCTTGTGTAGCATGTACTGGGATACCAATGGCTGCTAGAGCTGGGGGTTGTTTCTCTACAGGAGTTTGGTTTTGCTTTCCCTTGCTATGGGGCTGGCAGTACCCAGGGCCAAGAGCCCATTGTGCTGCTGATTTTGAAGTAAGCTGCTCCCTCAGAAACTACTCTCACTCCCAAAATGTAATTTCCAGACATGCTCAGGCATTTTTCCCAACACAAGGGTGTATCAGTCACACACCACAGAGCATGTGTGTGTACAAGGGACACATCTGTACAGCACTTTTCTAAGAGGTAATATTTAGAACCTTGTTGTTCCAGTGTGCATGTTTCCTTGTGATTTATGATGACTGTAAATAAGGGGATGTGTTACATTTTTGGCAATTTGCCTTTATGCAGAAGAATTAAAGACTTGAATTAAAAATCCTTGCTAGTCTGCTTTTGCAGTTGTGTTGTCAGTTTGATTATAAAAGGAATGTGTGGGTTCAGTAGTCCTTTCTTGTTTGTTTTAGGGTGTTTAGTTGGTTTGGGTAGTGATTTTGGATTTTTAGTCCTTGCTAAAAGTGGAAAAGAGGAGTCTTCAGAGATTCAAGCTAGACTCTTGAAGGCAGTTTACAATTCTGGTTTTGTCCAACCCCTCAGTTTTAAGGCATTGTAACTTGGTGGGAGGGAGCAGCTGAAGTCCCAGCGCCCATTCTGCCATGGAAGGGGGTCCTGCTGGAGAAGGTGGAACTGCTAGGTGAGAGTAATGGGCTGTTGAGAAATACTTAAACTCAAGTATTTTATGAGTATTAAGAGCCCTTAAGCTTTTGCCTGTGATGGACAGGGCCTGCAGTGGATTTAGGGACACATCCATAGGATTTTGCAATTCAGCAGTCCTTAAAAGATCTTTGTATTTCTTGGTTGAAGATATTAGACTAGACAAAGCATAACCAGTCTGTCTGTGGCAGTTAAATTTTGGGCAGGTTTATTCCCTAACCCAGATTCTGTGTGCCTGAACAAGCTGTGGTAGCACAAGGGAAGGAATGAAACAGCAGATGAAGTTTGAGATCCACTGAAGTGATTTCATGCAGTGCTGCCAGTGGATGTAGGATCATCCTGTGTTCTAATTAGTAACCTCATTAGTCTAAATAGAGCAGTCAAAACTGGAATGCAGCCTGGCCATGCACTTGTTTACCTACCCAAGGCTGTCTGACACAGAGCTTGCAACTAAGTGAAGCAGAAGTCTGGCACTCCACCCCCAGTTTTTCCTTTAATTTTACCCAACTTAATTAAATCTCCCCTGCATAAATCTGTGCTCAGTTTATAATTAAACCAAAATATACCCTGAACTTCAGCAGACAGGTTTCAGTTTCTCCCTAGCAGTGACAAGTATCTTCTGTTGGCATGCTTCCACGGGGAGAATCTCCTTATAGATGATACATTATCTGTGTTTGTGGAAACCATCCTTCACTGCCAGTTCTGAAACACCACGGGCTGTGTGTACTTCATTTTGTTTCTAAAACTCCTTTGAGGTCACAGCTGAGGATATCTCCTGATATCTCCTCCCCTTAAATTCCCACCGTGGTGTGAAACAGCTTTTCTGAAGGATTTTTGTTGCTGACAAGGACACAAAGATGCAGTGCAGCTGTTAAGCCCTGAGGTGTGTCCCAGCAGACAGTTCTGCTGGATAAACTGAATTTAATTTGTAGATTGTGTCGTGCTAAAAGTACAGTGTGGCTTCCAGGCTGTAGCTGTCCTCTGTCTGCCTTGCTTGGGTGTGTTCAGGTAAACATGCTGGTCTAGCTTTTGGCAGAGCCAGGCTGAAGGGAGGGGAGTTTGTTTGTGCATGTTTTGAACCTCTGCTGTACCTCAAGTATGACCTCGGTGCAAGAACACAGTTCTGTTTTCCATTGTAGTGTGTGGGAAAGGAGAGGTGCCAGCAGAGCAGACTTTTCTGCAGGAATGTGGATGTTCATGCAGATGCCACACAGAAAATGTGTGAGTTTGTACAAAATTTAACACAATAAGGCCAGGCAACAGGAATGGAATTTTCAATGTAAATACCTTCATGCATAGCAAGGCTGAAGTGTATCTTTATTAAAAAAAAAAAAAAATCAAAACCAAACACCACCTGTTGTTGTGTGCTCAGAAAATTTCTCCAAAACCATTGCTGCACTTGGATAGTTGCTTTAGTGTTTTAAGCTGATAAGAAAAACCCACCAAACAAATTTTTGTTTGCTACTTCTGCCATCTGTTTTACCAGATGTGGTACTTGGGGACATGGTTTAGCAATGGACTTAGCAGTGCCTTGTTAACAATGGTTGTGCTTGATCACCTTAGAGGGCTCTTCCAACCTTTATGAACCTGTTATTGTAAGGCTTTTTCAACCTTAGTAATCCTGCCATTGTAAGGCCAGAAGAAAACCATCTCTCTGAAGTGTCCCACCAGTGTTCAGGCTGCAAATTTATTATTGTTTAAAGCTACTTGTGTTCTGCTGGAGTTCTCCAGGTTGTTTCTAAATTACTGTTCTAAAATGAGTGTATGCCCAATAGCAGGACCAACACGATCTCACTGTGCATGCATCTGCAAGTAAAAAGGTCCATGAACCAAGGCATAACCACCTCATGCCATTACCCAACCTTCTTCACTATTGATAACTAAATTTGGACAATTAGGATTTAGGACAATACAAGACAATAAAAACAATTAGGACAATACAAGACAATAAAAACAAAGAGTTACGGACAGTCCAGGTACCTTTTTCTGGGCAAAATAAGCCCGGAAAAGGACCCACGTTACCAGAGGATTAACCCTTAAAAGCAATAACCTGTTGCATATTCATACACCTCATACATGATGCATAAATTCCATTCAAATACAGGATTCTCTCTGGTCAGTGTCAACTTCTTCCTCTTAATCCTAATCACATCTTCAGAGCGAGGCAGGAAGAAATCAGTTTCTTCTGATAAGAGAGCAGTAAATTCTTTTTCTCTGAAAGATTTAAGCTGCTATTTCGATGCAAGTCCTTTCTTTAAAAAGGTACCTTACATAGCATAGTTTCTATTTTAACGTTATGTTATAACCTAAAACTGTATTTAACACACTACTTAAGAGAATTAATACAGCATAACTTTCTAACTTAAAAGATATATAATATTCATTTTAATATTTGCGAAAAGCCAATCATAAAATACGCATTTTTCACACCGCGGACCGTCATCCTTCATATTTAAATCGCGGGAATTTGTATTTTTCTTTTTGTTTGGGCTGGGTTTTTCCCTGTTGTTTCACGGGAGTCCCGCCGCCCCAGCGCGCCAAAACCGCGCGCCGCCGCGCTCGATTCTCCCGCCAACACGCCCCGGGGGCGGGGCCGGGCGGAGCGGGCTGAGCCATTGCCCTGGCGGGGGGGTGGGGGATGTGTGTGAGCGTCTGAGGGCGCGGGGCGGCCGCTGCGCCTTCCCGCTCTCCCCCCCTCCGCACCTGTCCCCGTGGAGGCGCCCCGCGGGGAGGCGGAGCGGGCGTGTCGCTCAGCGCCGGCGGGAGATGCGAAGGGGCTGAGCGGGAAGGCGGCAGCGCTCCCTCGGCTCTGCCTCACCGCTCAGCTCTGCCTCACTGCCCGGCTCTCCTTCCTCCCCCGGCCTCCTCAGCTCCCCGCGCCCGGCTCTGCCTCCAGCCCTCCCTCCCGAGGATACCCCGCGCCATGTCCTTCCGCCACAGGAGCCCGCACGGCAGCACCAAGAGCAGGTAGGGCCGCCGGGCTGAGGCGGGGGTGGCGGCGCCGGCCCTCGCTCCCCCCCTATGCTCCCCGGGCCTCATTCCCCCTTTACTCCCCGGGCCTCGTTCCCTCTTTGCTCCCCGGGCCTCGCTCCCGCCGTCCCGCAGCGGAGCTCTCTGAGGGAGTGGGGGGGGCAGAGCCCCCTCAGAGGGCCCGCAGAGCTCCCTCAGGGTGCCCGCAGCGAGTGGCGTCGCCTCCCTGCGTTTGGTGGCAGTGCGCTCGGTAAATAGCGCGGTCTCTGAAGGAGGTTGAAGCCCTGAAGCCCACCCGGGCTCTCTTGTGTTGCTGTGTCTGTCCCCAGCCCGCAGCACCCGCCGCGCTGGGCCCAGGAGCGGAAACGCGGCGCCGATGGGAAGCGGCGGAGGCAGAACGAGCCCGAGTCCTCCGTGTTCGAGGAAAACAAGGCCAGGCCTGAGGACAGCCGGCTGGACAGGTGAGCATGGTGACAATGGCAGCGGCTTCCTGCTCTTTTGTTCGCCCGGAGCTGTTACACTGACCCTTCTGCTCAGCTTTCCTAGCCCTGCCTGTTTATCAATCGCTCGTCAGCCACAAATAGCTGGTCTTAAAGGAGGGAAAAGGATCGAGTGCAGTGCTCTTATCTTGGAGTCAGTTCTTAAGAGTCAGCATTTTTCATCCTTATCTCTTGAAATATATGTCCTTGATAATTTATATCCTATTTCGTGTTGGTCTACTGCTGTTTATCGAGGATTAATACTGTACAGGCCCATTATATTTGTAAATACAGGCTGTACAAACAGTTGTGGTAAAATTGAAGTAAATTACAAAAATTCAATTCTTAGAAATCATCTATTTTCTGTTTCTGAAGGGAGTACAGAGAAGTTGTGTTATATTTCAGCACATTTGTGGGGGGATGCAGTTTTGAGGTCACCCCATAGCACTGCCTTCCATGTCTGTCAGCACAGCTAGACTTAAGTATTTATTTTATATCACATTTTCAGTCTGAGCTATTCATGCCATGGTCTCTTTAATCACTTTGATCTCTGGATGGGAGTTGGCCCCACAGCCCAGTTGATTGAATCAAGGTTTCTTGAACAGGGCTAGGTTGTGCCCACCCATTTTCCTTTGCTGACAATAAGCAGGGAACCTGTTGGTCAGTGGCTCAAGTTACATTATCCAGAGTAGCTTAAACTAATTCCAGGAAGCATAGTTGAACAGCAGTACAAGGATGGAACTTCACTGATAGTTTCAAAGTAAATAAGTGACACTTCTGTGTGTCTCCCAGTATTGAATTGTGCAGACATACTTCCTGGTTTCAGTTTGGATTGAGCTCTGAAATTGTTCTCTTCCTCTGCCAAAACTTTATTTATGCCAATCCAACCATGTCAAATGAAAATTCCCAAAAGTAAAGAGGATCAGGGTGGAAGCTTGGTCATCTTGATAATCACAGCACAGGTACAGAATCAAACAAATATAAAAAGATATCACAGCATAGTGTTGAGGAAGAAATTCAGTTGGGACCAACTGGGATTCTGCTGTTTGTTCTCTACCATGGGAGAGCAATAACTGAACATGGTCTGTATTCTCTGCAAATCTAGAAATTGGTATAAGCAAAAGTTAAATTCCTTGGAGCTTGAACAAATCTTTACAGAGGGACCTGTACTGTATGCTATGAATTTTTAATTTTGCCAAGTTGATAACTGGATTTCAT